ATTTCCTTTATTTTCTGACATACCAGTGTCGTTTTTAAACCTAATTTAGTCTGTTTGATATGATTAATTTCCTTTATTTTCTGATATACCAGTGTTGTTTTTAAATCTAATTTAATCTCTTTGATATGATTAATTTCCTTTATTTTCTGACATACCAGTGTCGTTTTTAAACCTAATTTAATCTCTCTGATATGATTAATTTCCTTTATTTTCTGACATACCAGTATCGTTTTTAAACCTAATTTAATCTGTTTGAAATGAGCAATTTCCTTTATTTTCTGACATACCAGTGTCGTTTTTAAACCTAATTTAATCTGTTTGAAATGATCAATTTCCTTTATTTTCTGACATACCAGTGTCGTTTTTAAACCTAATTTAATCTGTTTGATATGATTAATTTCCTTTATTTTCGGACATAGTTCTCTGATCTACAATTTTTCACATTATCAGGTCAAATGAACTTGACAGTACATTTTGCCCTTTATGCATTTAAACTTATGAATAATTCCTGGCTTAATTAGACTTCAGTATAATTCATATTTCGAAAAGTGTAACTAACTGTTAAGGAAAACTTGAAAAGAAAGGTTTATACAGTGATTGAATCAATTCTCTTCATTAAGGTTTCAACTTTCTCCAAGAACATCATATAGAACACACTCCCTTTTATGAATAGTGAAGTCATTTGTCTTAGATATATAAGAAAATGATAATTTAATGTAACCCATGCATTTATTCATAAATGGAAAATCGTCTTTTGTCTTCAGATATTGTTCTAACCATGTAAAACAAGTTAAAAATTGTTACATCAAAATTAATTACATAAACATCCAACTGTATGAAAAGTTTGAAGTTAAAAATAACAACTTTCAAATTTGATATTGTATCTTATTAACTGAGTTTAGAAGAATGTTTACATTGATGTTTGCTTTGTGTATTTAACTACAGTCATGTAAGCTTTGAGTAAATGTCTAGTTTGGATTAAAATGAATTTTCTTAATTAGCAGTCAAAGCTCCTCTTCCATTATATCAAAGTTTAAATCCAGAAAATTACAAATTTTTATCTTTTATTGAAATTATAGACTTGACTTCGAAGCTCGTAACAAGAAAAAGGAGAAAAAGGAGTTGGCAGCATATGAAGCCTTAATGAAACAGAAAGAAGTAAGAATAAGTTGAACAGTATTGTTGGCACAATGTTTTTAATATCATTAACTTTTAATTGTTTGATTTTTAAATAGGGCATTAAATTTCCGTAGAATTTATTTAAATTATCGACAGATATGTGAAGACGAACTTGTAGTTTTTTGATTTACTACACATTTGTATAAAAATTATAATACTAAACCAGCTTTAATATTTTAAAAAGCTTTTATATGAGTTGAACTTTAGGAAAGTGAAAATTGTATTGATTTGAATTTGATTCATATGCAGTGTATATTATCTGTGGCACAAGAGCAGCTAGATAAAATTTGTACTTACTGCATTTTTATAATTAATGTTTTGATTGACTGAGATGTTGTATAATGTCTTGTTTAACCCAAGTGTTGTATTTAACAGAATCGAATTGAAAATATGGCTTTGAATTTATAATGATAAGTTGCTTCTACTTTTACCTTAAAATAGAATAAAAAAGAAGGTATATTTTTAAATGATCTTTTGGGATTGTAGAAAACTACATGCTATCATAGAAAAGTGTTTTATTTTATAACCAAAGTACTTCTAGTGTTTTGTAGTTCTAGTCAATATTGATGATAAATGACAAGTTTAATATTGGTTTTATCTATATATATCTGTATCATAATTGTATCGCTCGTACCTCGTATAATTATTCCAATATTGAAAAGAGTCGATTTCTACTTATTTAGTTATTGTAACTAATGTTTGGATTGATTCAGAATTTTTGATAACTTACTGTCCAACCCAATTGTTGCACTTGGTAAAATTGATTTTGTTTAAATTGCAGTTTGAAATTTACGATTGAAGTTGTTTTCATTAACAAATAGTAAAAAAAAGATTTGGGGAATAACAGAGGGGTTGCTTTTTTATTTTATTCTAAATTTGTCTAATAAAAGTGTTTTTAATTTCCGGTTTATGTTCACTAAAAAATGAGTTACTTTTAAGCTTATGTTGAAGAATAAGCAAAATACTAAATACATTTGTGAATTGTTAAGATGGTCTTATATTTATTGGATTGTAGATTTTAGAAACTAGGATAATCAGTCATGGTGCTTTATGTTGATCATTTTAATTATCAATTAGCCTAAAAATCATAAAAAAGTTTACCTTGAAATCAGAATGCTAATATCTTTGAGAAAGTTACTGAAGATGACTGGGTTTCACTTATAAATGTTGTAGTTTTGGAAGCCTAATAAAACATTTTCTCATTACCTGTATGATTACTTTAGAGTAAATCACAGATATAGCATTAATAGTTATTCGAAATAGGCCTATTGTGGTGCAATAGTGAAGTTTTCTCTTTATATATATATATATATATATTCTTTTTTGAGGTTATTTAATTTATGGAACTCTTTAGTTATATATTTAAACAGGTCCATAAAATGTATGATTATTTCCATAATATGACTGTTTTAGTGGTTAAAATTGACAAAGTTTGACTGGAATTAATGTGTGTATATGTTTTAATAGGTTAGTTTAAGCTTTTTAAAGAAGTTCTGTTGTAATTAATATGCCAAATGCTAGATTTTAAGTTTTGGTTTCGTATTGTTATGTTTACTTTTATGTTGGCTCCCATTTTAGCCCTGAAATGCAAGAAAAAAAATTTCTGATAAAATGCAGAAACTCTTAAACCTTTACACGCACAAATTTACATATTAAGTTTTATTCAGCAAAGTGCAGACTCCATCAGTATCATATCATATATTAACAGTACTAAATTTAATGTAAAACTATATATATTTGATTACTTAAAATTGGGAACTGTGTTGTGTCATATAAACATTCATGGAGTGTATAATAAATCTATTAAAATCTCTGTTTTGAACTGTTATATATATAATTATACCTCAAGAAAGCCACTAGAATGGGGTCAGTTGATTAACAATGAAGTTTGATGTCAAAATAAGTATAGCATTCATACAGGGAGTAGCATGTTATAGGTGGAAAGTCAGCATGAAAAACTAAAACTGTCTAATAGACAAATATAGTAATTACATAAATACATTACTTGTAGGCTGTGATAATTTTTTCTATTACTCTGGCTCACCAGAGGCACATTAGTAAGTCAGTGGGCTTATGATGCTAAAATTTGGGTTTTGATACCTTTAGTGGGCAGAGCACAGAAACCCATTGTGTAGATTTATGCTTTACAACAAACAACATTTTTTACCCACATTGTTCCAAAACATGGGGTTTCATTAAATCTATTTTTGGACTGAACATAAGTATAAGCAACTGATCGGGAGATTTCGTTATTTATCTGTTCTAACTTTTTCACTAGAATATTATGATTAACTTCCACAAATATAAGGAAACCAGGTACATTATTCTTCAATCTCTGAAGATGTTCTATTGTGTTAATAATCTTTCAACAATCATATTTTTGTAGTGCGTCTTGAAGCAAAAGGAATACGTTTCACTGTTAACTTTTAATTTTATCTTAATAATTATGTATATATATATAACTGATTTGTGTAGACAGTTTGGATTTCATTTTTTGTATCTGGCATGTTAGTAGTAAACGCAGAGATTGATTATGTTATATTAGAATAATTTTGGTACCTCAACACATTGTTACAGTCTATGTTGTCGGGTTATGCTCTGTCTGTTGACAGTGTATTTTGAGGATAGACCTGCAGCGTAGTTTTCATTGCAAAAGAGACCGTTATGCCTAGAATACACCATTCATTCCTGGTCACTTTCCACCATATATCTAATGTAAGAAGGTGAAGGTTACCCAGTGACCGTTTCAATAGTCCTAACGGACAGAAATCCATAGATGATGCATCTGTTGGCTCTACTAATATCTCCTCATGTAGAGTAACATGAGTGCTAATTTAATTTTACAGATATTTTATGGAAGCAATTTACGCACGTGTGACTTGTATCGCTTTTCTAGACGGACATCCTAATTGATTATGTTGTGTACTGTTGACGGGGATACGTGGATGACTTTTGCCCACACTTTGCTTACTACGACTGGGGTATGACTTATTGCAGGTCTCTCACTGGATGGTCCAGATGTCCAAGTTGATTCACTTTTCTTTGTTTCGATATGGCATTTATCATATGGAATATCCCTGTCTTCGAAATTTTAAATCCCTGATCTGAATACATCTTTATCATATGAATGTATGAATATTTTGCGTCGGAAAGTGATTAATTTTCAGTAGTAATACCGCCATGTTAAGTGTAGTTGTGATAATTTCTGTTCTACCATGATTTTACATAGGCTATGGTTATCGTAATATAGCGTACTCAAACCTATGTCAAAACAAAATCTATAGAATACCAATTTTTACATTTTGTAGTGCCATCATAATAGTGGGTTCTTTTGGATTATTTGGTAAAAATAATGCGAAGTCCAGTTCACTTAACGACAACGAGTTAATTTATTTCTACAATAATGTTTGCTACTGGCTACATTCACTTTGACGCAAGTTGTTGGTCTAAGTTCAGAAACAAACTTTCTATTATAGACTGAAACTACTGTAAGCCTAATACACTAATATTAATAATGTTTAATCACGAGCTACTTTATTTGAGCTTTCAAGCTAGCTGAACTTTCAAAGTTAACAATAGATGGATTTTTTAATAATATTGTAAATAGTACATGACGATTTTTTTCTTTTGCTTCCGTAAGGTTTTTTTATTTGAATAATTTATTTTGTGAAAGGAAAACTGTTCTTGTTAACTAGACGATAAACTAAAAGTTTTGTATCGAGACTTGGTTTCGTAGGCGTCGTGTGCAGCAACTGAGGTACGAGTTGACACACTGTCTTTATGGCACAATTCGATACTACTACAGTTGCATGTCTTAGTTACTTATTTCCAACGCATATCTCAAGCTATTGACGTCATAACGCATTAATCCAATACATAACAAAACAAGCCAATCATAAAGTAGTTTTCAGTCATTTGATACAAGTCAAAATTTCGACTACGCGATGAATCAACGCATTACGGCCGTATAGATCGGTAGCCAACAGGGAAATAAGTAATATCGTATTGACTCAACTCAACTGGTATTGAGCCAATACGCTGTGACACCGTTCGCATTTATTCATAGCGTACTCAAAATATTCAACTATGAGTTGTATTAATGCCTTATAACCCTTATGGCTTGTGATAAATGCACGGATGATCAAGAAGTCAGTTGCACACGGCGTCACGTTGTCTAAGCCTACGTGAGCAGAAAGCTTAAATACAGGCCTATTGCATATTCTAAAAATTGTCCTTGAAATTTTTGTGAGTGAATTCTGAGTCATTCGATGCATGCGTACACTGATAATTACACATTCTAAACTGATGACAACAGAAAACTCAAAGACAGTTAAATTTCTAAAATAAGCTGATCTAATACAATGTTCGGGTACTTATTAGTTTCTTAAATGAACACTAACTGATTTTCTGTTCAATTTATACAATTTTTCCTTTGTTTATTAATATCGAAAATAAATATTTTTATGAAAATGCCGTTTCTGAATTAAGACACTTGTTTTTAACAATATAACTCCGGGTCTAATAAACAATAAAATGATACAGTAATCTAGTGTTTTTAGGGGACGCTAGAAGCAAGGTAGATTTTTAGTGCAAACGTTTAGTTCAAAGCGCCATCTCTTGGCCTATTTGAGATTTAATTACAGCCGTGGCATTTGGGGATTCTCTTTTGTTTTCTGCATATACAGGTACTTATGAAAAACTAAACCGTGTGTTGATTAATTTTTAAAAAGAACAGACTCGTGATGAGACGTAAACTGTTTTTTCAGTCAGCAGTAAATAAAACTAATTAACAAGATTTCTCAGTGGAAAAATAAGACGAGTGACGTTTCAAAAAAGCTAACATTTAAATACAAATACTTCTGGTCTAAATGTTACACACCCTAGATGTTTGTTTATGTTTAAATGCAATGCTACACAATGGGTTATCTGAGCTGTGCCCACCGCGGGTATTTTTAGTGTTATAAGCCAATACTTTTGAAGCTAAAATTTAACTTCACAATTAAACCTAAATTCTGTTTCTTTTAACTTACGGAGTTCTAGAAACAAACAGTTTAAATCACAACAAAATTGTGGATTCACAATATTCACGCATTTAACGTTGTCGTAAATACTAACCTTAACACTAACCTTTCCATCATCAAAATCATGCACATGTAAGCAAATACAGCGTCCATCTAAAACTATGTTATAATAAGAAAACATCTTTCAAATTTTGAGAAGATAGGTTTTGATACCAGTAAAGCATATCTAAAATTCAATTTTTACTTCTCTCAAATGTTATAACGTTAGTCTCATAACGATAATGACAAACTCCTTCAACAGATGTCGCAACGTTCTGCCAAATACTGTTCAAGTGCAAGTAAGTAAATCGCTTAACAACGAAATAAATTTTGCAATAAAGAATAAAATAAAGTTATAAATATAAACACAGCTAGAAATTTAAATTTAATAAATGCCCTAGGAAAAAACCGATATACGTGGATAATAAATGCATAGTATAAGCTGTAATTATAATCAAAATATCTTTTTCAAGAGGTATGAGAAACATGGTTACGCTTTTAGCCTTCAAGAAAGATTTACAATTTCTTTACAACATAAATTTAAATAGGAAATAAAAGAATTTCGCGCGAAGAATTTGTAGCTGCATCAGTATTTCATTATTTTGTTTGAGGCTGTGAGTCTGGCTGTTCAGTTATGATTAATGACATAGGGGGGCAAGTGCTGTTTCCCCTTCTGATCGGGCCTGGTGGTTAAGGACCTCGACTCGCAACCTGCATATGCTCGCTTTTCCAGCCATGGGGGCGGTATAATGTAACGGTCAATCTCATTATTCGTTGATGGTGTTTATTAGCTGCTTTTCTAGCCGGGTTTCGATACTCATGGTGGGCAGAGAACAGAGCTCATTGTGTAGTTCAAACAAACAAATACGCCCTTCTCATTTATTACTTCGAAATTAGGGGTAACTATCGATATTCCAAGTCTTTCCAACAGTTCACTATTCGTTCCATTTATCCTCCTGAAGAAGAATTTTAATTATTTCCTTACATTATTTCCATAACATACGAGTTATTTTATACAACGAACTTTTATTTTTGTTATCACCACTTCAAAGCTTTTCGGGAATAACTAAAGGTGGTTGTTATATCAATCAAAACAGCGTTTGGAAATTGTAATTTTTAACTTGAACATCTTTTGCGACAAATGTACTAAACTGGAAGATCGATA